ACTAGTTGAAAATCACTGGTCTAAAGGAAGGGGAATAGAAGACCAACAAGCATGATCACATACATTAACGGCAGAAGAATCCCTCTACAGCCTTCTAAAACCGGGACCTTTAGAAATTCCCTGTTTAAGGGGTAAGACTCTGAATTTAGTAAGTCAGTCTTATCTTGGCATCCACTAACCCAAACTTCATTCTTGAAATCCACACAAGAAGCTTAATTACAAAGTCCTTAAAGCCCAACCCTACAAAAAGAAATCACCTTGGAATATGAATCCGGAGCCCTGGCTTCTGTCACTTTATAGGGTGGCAAGGCAGTTTACTGTCCTGAACTTAGGTTTCTTTAACTGTAAAATGAAAACAATGATATGTTCAGCCTATCTGATTGGACTGTTTTGAGAACCAAATGATTCATGTGAAAGTGCTTTGAAAATTTATAAAGTTACATGTAGATATAAAATGGTGTTAACAGCAGTATCATTGCCCCAGAAACTCCACCCCACACATTTATATATTTATGAGCAATTAGGAACGGTGGTTATGATGAGAAACTATATCGTGAAAAATTATTACCCCCTGCTTTTTTTTTGAGACAAAGTCTCACTATGTTGCCCTCAGTAGAGTGCTGTGGCCTCACAGCTCACAGCAACCTCAAACTCTTGGGCTTAAGCGATTCTCTTGCTTCAGCCTCCTGAGTAGCTAGAACTATAGGTGCCTGCCACAACGCCTGGCTACTTTTGTTGTTGTTGTTGTAGTTGTCATTGTTTTTTGGCAGGCCTGGGTTGGGTTCGAACCCACCAGCCCCAGTGTATGTGGCTGGCACCCTAACCACGGAGCTACAGGTGCTGAGCCAACTCTTTCCCTGCTTATCAAGTCTGAAGGCAGTACAGTCATTAAGCACATTGACTTTAAGTTGGAAAAGTACTGAGTTCAAATCCCAATTCTGCCACCAGCAACCTGACCCTGGGCAATTTTTTAATTGCTCTGTAATTTTTAATTGCTATCATTTTGCTGATACACACACACACACACACACATACATGCACGCACACACACCAGCACACATACATAGACACACTGATTATAACAGGTTTATTGTGAAACAATGCATATAAAATGTTTGATATAGCAGGCTAACATGGTGTCTCACACCTGTAATCTCAGCACTTTGGGAGGCAGAGGCCGGTGGACTGCCTGAGCTCAGGAGTTCAAGACCAGCCTGAGCTAAATCAAGACCCTGTCTCTACTAAAAATAGAAAAATTATGGCGGTGCCTCTGGCTCAAAAGAGTAGGGCGCCGGCCCATATGCTGGAGATGGTGGGTTCAAACCCAGCCCTAACCAAAAACTGCAAAAAAAAAAAAAAAA